TCTCGATTGTGTCGCCAGATGTAAATGTGAGTCGAAGACTCATTTAATATATTTGTTACTTTTGTTATTGTTAATTCGTGTGTACTTTATTCTCGCCCCTATTCGCTCCTCCAAACGATCTGCTATCCTTGACCGCGAACCCCTCTGCCATTTCCTGGGCATTTCCCTGAGGTTAAGCTACCGGTTGAGAGCCCGTCGACATTCGCAGCTCATTAAAAATAGCATAAAGAAAATATCGTGTAATTTCTAGAAAGAGTGACAAGCTCACTCGTGCCTGGCGCCCAACTATTGTTTTGTGATTATGTGCCGCCCTTAAGAGCGGCCGCGTGAAGACGCATTTTTGTTACGTTTCGTTTAACGCCATCCGTTATCCGATCGCCTACGAAAACCTTAGCTGTGAATGTGCGACGAAGTTGCGCCACGCTCATGAGTGCGGTTGCAGCATGTATATTATATTTGATAGAATATACGTAGGCTGCTGGAAAAGTTTCTGCAATCTAATACTTCCAGTGGCGCCAACGTTCTGCTACTATCATATCCGTATAATTAGACGTTTTTAACTTATAATTTAGTTGACAGTTTGTATCCAAGCCAACTAGTTTTGTTTGCATAGTATTTTAAAAGAAGTTATTTTGTGAGAAAATGAAAATTTCGCGTGAAAATTTTCGGGCAATGATTTTTTACGATTACAAATGAAATCTAACTCCGAAACAATGCATTGATCGACTTCATTTGGGAATGAAACACCATCCAATAGGACTATTTATAATTGGTTTGCCGAATTCCAGCGTGGCCGTACCTTTCTTTGTGACGAATTCCGTAAAGGTCGTCCATCCATGTCTGTTATTGCCACTAATGTTGATACTGTGCGTGAAATGATTGAATGAGATCGGTATATGACATATCGCGAGATTCAGGCATCCTTAGGCATTGACATGAAAGCAATACATACGATTTTGCATGATCTCTTGAGCGTATAGAAACTTTGCAGTTGTTAGATCCCACACAATTTGACCGACGCTCAAAAACAGGCTCGTGTTAAATGAAGCAAAGAAATGCTCAAAAAATTCAACCAAGGTCGGTCAAATTTGGTCTACAACATCATTACTGGGGACGAAATATGGATCTATTCGTATGAGCCCGAAAGTAAACCACAATTCACTGTTTGGGTATTTCAGAATGGACCAAAACCAACAAAAGTTGTTCGTTCACGCAGTGCTGCCAAGCAAATGATTGCTTGTTTCTTCAGTTATACCGGATATGTGGCAACCGTGGCTTTAGAAGATCAAAGAACTGTAAATACTAATTGATACACAACAATTTGTTTGCCAGAAGTCATAAATGAATTGCGTAGAACAAACCGAAATCATCCCATCATCCTTCATCATGACAACGCCAGCTGTCATACAGCACATCAAACCGTTGATTTTTTATCCAGTAAAAATGTCGAATTGATGACTCATCTGTCCGTATTCATCTGATTTATCACCAAATGACTTCTTTTTGTTCTCAAACATTGAAAAAAAGATGCGTGAGCGATTTGAGTTGTCTGAAACAGCTGTTGAAACATTTCGTATACTGATTTCTGAGGTTACGTCTCAGAGATCAGGAAAAAATGCTTGGAAAAAATGCTTCGAAAATTGGTTCGAGCATATGAAAAATGTATCGATCTTAAAGTGAATACTTCGAAAAACAATAAAGCCATTTACTGAATTTTACATTTTTTTTCATATTGTTTGCAGAAACTTTTCCAGCAGTCTACGTATGTAATTATAATAAATATTGAACATATATTAAATATTTATTTCAATTGCAACAGAATGCATTCTTAATATTTTATGAATATATTAGGTGTACAAATAAGTTTCCGCCGTTTGACAAAAGACGGCGCTACTAGCAAGCTATGATTAAAATTGTCTGATGTAAAACATTATATCGTAAGGTTGGACATCTGTCAACAATATAATCTTAAAATACTAGCGATTTTGTATCAGCATCATATATTTTTTTTGTGCGAAAATACCGAGTTTTGAGCCGAATAAGCGTCATTTGCGGGAACTTTTGATTTACTTCTTTAATTTGAAGAAATTTGCAGCTGAGGCTCATCGATTGCTTGTAGAAGCATATGGAGGCTGCCTTAAGTGAGAGAAGTTGTCGTGAATGGTTTCAAAAATTTAAGAACGGTGAATCTGACGTCGAAGAACAAAGAAGCGGAAGGCCGAAAGTGTATGAAGACGCGGAATTGGAAGC